GGGGGGGGTAAATTTTACCCCCCCCCCCTGTTATCTCCCGAACTAATGGTCCGATTTGGAAAATTCAAACGCCAATCGAAAGCTCTCATCACGAACTACTAAAAACATGTACTTAATTTAAAGTTTGAGGTCAAGGTCAAGGTCAGGTCAAGGGTACAAATTGCAAGTTTCTACAGTATCGGCCTTGCACCGTAGTTGCCGAAGAATGGAGTCATGGACTGAGACTGATCGCCCAAAACGTGTTCTTAGGCTACCAAGACAATATTAGTTGCATACAATATCATTCAGAGGTCAAGGTCAAGGTCAGGTCAGGTCAGGTCAGGTCACCAAAAAACAAAATATAGAAAAGGGCATGTGCGACACATGTTTTATGGGTCATTTTACTCATAGAATTCAATAGGCACACTCAATAAGTGATATGGACCACCTCTGGATGAATTTCAGGTCGAGGTCAGGTCAAGGTCAGGTCAAGTGAGGTCAAATTTTGAAGTTGGTTGTTAAGGCCTAAAAAGGTGTCTATCTAATGCAGTTTTTCACGGCGAATCGAATGGTGCTATTTTTGTTCCCGTACGAGGTCTAGAACTTCCAAAAAAGGTATTTTTCAAAAATTTTGTGTATCGTGACGTCATAAAATTTTGAATAACTCCCACATTTTTGAACCGATCCTTCTAAAATTTGGTATGTAGGTGCACATAGACCACTTCTCTGACATATATTCCGGTTTTTTTCGATAGACTCAAAATTTTGGATTTTATAATGATTTTCCAAAAAAAATCAGTTTTTTGAAAAAATTTAGGCCAAAACCCAAAATTTTCAAAAAAAACGAGATAGCCATTTGATAGACAAAATAAAATTACGTATAACCTTTTTGTTACGTCTTGATTCCTTTAAAAATGAAGATGTAAGCGGCGTTTGAACTTTTGCCGTTTTTGAGGCGAAAATGGTGAACATGACGTCACTAAAACGTCAATTTCTCAAAAAATTTCCGACGGATTTCGCTCAAATTTTTAGGGAAGGTGTCAAATTGATGTAAGAAAGTTTGGCGGCGCTGCGCGCCGCCGTTTTTGAGATATCGCAAAAATTCGCGAGGGGGGGTAAAATTTACCCCCCCAGCCCCGCGCGGGTTAATTGATGCATGTTCACCCGCAGGCACTAATGAGCTCTGCCCGAGGGCGCGAGACTCACTACCGCCGGCAGTCGCCTTGCGCCACGCCCAGAGTTCTGAGACGGACCGGAGTTCGTTCCGCGTTATACGAGCCTTACAAGTTTTATGAGCCTAACGATCCACTTGGGGAGTGATGAATAACTTGGCTGCCAGACGCATGGACTAACTATACCATAGGACTGAGGACTGATCTTGGCAACGGCCGATCTGTGATTGGTGTGGACATATTCTACCGAAAAATACAGGTGATTGCTCACCCGACAGAGCCATAATTAAGGTGAACTTCTTCGAAATCATACGACCTGTTTGATTTGAATAATGTCTTGCCTTCCTCTGCACCTGATATATCAAACCACATGAGTTTTAAAATTGCACCTCTGAAGAAACCGAAATATTGAGTACAATCCTTCGCTACCGGCTAAGAACGCTGTTAACCTGTAATTTTGACCGTACAAGAGAGAGCTAATGCTTGCTATGGAAATGTTGGATGTCTCTTCATTTTGTCCAGAGGCGAAAAGGATGAGACATGGTGCATCTCAGGATATCATGCATAAGCCAAAACTACAGTCAGTTTAAGACGAATGTTGCACAGGTCAGGGGATGCCGTTGCAAGCGGAGTTTATGACACTCTGAAGCTCCGAACATATAATGAAAAAATAGAGAGCCGCCAGAGGGCAGAGAGAGAGAGAGAGAGAGAGAGAGAGAGAGAGAGAGAGAGAGAGAGAGAGAGAGAGAGAGAGAGAGAGAGAGAGAGAGAGAGAGAGAGAGAGAGAGAGAGAGAGAGAGAGAGAGAGAGAGAGAGAGAATGAGAGAGTGAGAGAGAGAGAGTGAGAGAGAGAGAAAGAAAGAGAGAAGGAGTGAGAGAGAGAGAGAGAGAGAGAGAGAGAGAGAGAGAGAGAGAGAGAGAGAGAGAGAGAGAGAGAGAGAGCTGCCAGTCCACATATGTGCCAGATGACTTTTTAAACACGTTTCGGACATGAACGATCGTTCCTGCACATGCCACTGACAGTCAAGGTCAAACGTGAAGCTCCGCAGCGATCAGCGTTCGATGTTTGAAACGTATCCAAATGTCAATAAATACATATATATATATATATATATATATATATATATATATATATATATATATATATATATATATATATATATATATTATATATATATATATATATATATATATATATATATATATATATATATATATATATATATATATTATATATATATATATATATATATATATATATATATATATATATATATATATATATATATATATATATATATATATATATATATATATATATATATATATATATATATATATATATATATATATATATGCACAATATCCATTGCACGATCATTGCAATGCAAACAACGGATTTAGTAATGCACCCCATGCCCATTGATCATTTAAACAGAACTACAAAATTCATGTTTCCATGAAACTATGAATAACAAAGCATCTGAAAACTGAAAACCACAATACTTTTCTTTTTAGTGTTCAGCTTCTTTCAAACTTTATGTGACGCTACATATATAGCGGAGGCTATTTAGGGCCTTGGCGGAGGCTTTATTCCGCTGACGATGAACGGACTCGTTCCACATAGCTGCAGTCTGCACGGGACGCGCCCGCGACTGAGCCCTGCGGTACAGCCTACGACTGCAGTGGGTATCGCCCTGCCATCTAGCGGTAGGGTTTCTCACTACATGGACACCGGCCCTGCGGTACAGCCTACCACTGCAGTGAGTATGGCCCTGCCATCTAGCGGTAAGGTTTCTCACTACGTGGGCGTGAACCCTGCAGTACAGCCTACCCACTGCAGTGAGTATCGGCCTGCCATCTATTGGTAGGGTTTCTCACTACATCGACGCGAGCCCTGCGGTACAGCCTACCACTGCAGTGAGTATCGCCCTGACATCTACCGGCGGAGTTTCCCACTACACGGACGGATAATACTCCCCCTAGAGAGGTAGCTCAGGTTGGGATTTTCAATAAAAAATCACAATTCTGAAGAATAGTGATTGTCTTATTTGAAAAGTCCTAACCTTCGGATATAATCGCAATTGAGATACCATCGTCGTTGCCAAGCTAAAGGGAGATGAGCTCATGTCATTGAAATGATTACAGGCAATATCAAAACATTTTAACCTATTGTTCATCATATTGTTATCATTCATGTTCAATAAATTTGTGTACCTAAAGCCGTCAGCCGACCTTTTAGACTCTTGTTGACCAATGACCATGCATATACAATCGCGCATGAAACCGAGTTCAAGGGCCCCAGCACCCTACAAAGCATGTCTACAGGACGGAAAGATGCGATGCTTTCCATGGAGCGGACAGAAAAGCGCTCAGTGTCGATGTTGACGCGCTGATGTGGCAAACTTCCCAGCCAGTTCTTACAATACCAGAATAAAGTCTGTAGCGTAACTCACGTCATTTGTGTGTGTGTTTTTTTTTTAATAATGTGAACACTGATGTGGAAAAAGGGAGCGAATGGCTCCTTAGCAAAATTAGCCTGGTTCATATCTACAATCAATCGGTTTTGGGTATGCATTGTGCCATTAAAATAAAGATCGTCTCACGTCTGCTTATAAAAACATTGCTCAAAAGGTATTCATTACTACGAGGCTAGCTAATAATTGGAACACCATTGTATAGTATTTTGTATAGAATTGCTAGTTAACCATGTATATTATTCAGCAATCTAATGTCAATGGTCAATAACATTGCAGAAATGTGAGTATTTTGTTTCAAATTGGTCAAATCATGGAATGATCTTTCGCTTTCAAGCATCGTCATATTCAGTTATTGAACCGGCCTTCATACGCCAGTGGTGAAAAACAAAGGATAAAATAAACTACATGTATATAAAAGATAACAAATTGGCAAACAGAACAAATAACACTAAATCAACGATGAGCATCAGCCATAGCTGTCCGTAGTGGCTCTGGTTCTTTGGCACTTTGGCACGTACTTAGGTACTGGTACGTTTTGACCTGTGGGGCAAAATGTGGCCGCTGTCACACAAACTGGCGCACTCTCCCGACCCACAGCCAATCGATTTCTAGTCATATAACACATTTGCCCTATTTAAATTGCGGAACCAACGAGCTCACAGGGTACACGCATCAATAATATATGGCAAAAACATGAAACACATTGGAAAAAATAAATAACATACGTTTCTCCCTCGTGGGCTGATCAGTTCAACGGAAATAAGGAAAACGCGAGGGAACGTAAACAATTGTGAAACGGAAGTGAGAGTGAGCGAAAATGACGTCACAAGATCGGCTCGACGCAACCAAATTAAAAACACGCCGTACCGGCGGCCACACGCCTCCTCTAAATCACTCACTCTGCAGTGATTTACCCATCACCCACACGATACACTTTCCAATCACAGAGCGCTCTCGGCACCATCGCTGCTTCCTCGCCAGCGGTAAACGTCAGTCTAGCGCCCGGCTGGCGCTCGAAGGGCGCCACTCACTCGAACCGCGCCTCCTCATCTACAGCTGTGAACGCCAGTAGTCCAGCGCCTGGTTGATGGCTCAGAGAGCCGCTCGAAACGCGCCTCCTCGTCCACAGCGTTGAACGTCATCTACCGTCCGTTTAGCCACGCGGGCCGCCCAGGCCGCCCGTGATCGCACCATCCCTTCGCCGCCGAGCACTCACGACGTCCACTCGGCGCTCGGTCGGCGCTCACTGGACGCTAACCGCACTGCTCGCGGCTGCACCTCCCCGTTGCCGCCGCGAACCTCCATCTGAAGTCCGGTCGTCCATGTTGCCGCGGCCCGCGGCCGCGCCTCCCCGTCGCCGCCGGGAAACTCACTTTTCCGTTCGGCGAGCGGGCGGCTGGCTGTGCTCGCCGTTCGCCGCCGTCTGTCGTACGAGCATCACCAGCTGGTGTACGGGTCTCTCCAGCTCTCTCCCGCCGGACACGATCCGAACCTTCCTGACCAGTCCGTCTCTGCTGGGGAGCGACTGCAGAACCCTCGCCAGGGGCCAGCCGCTACGCGGCGAGTCGGGTTCAGCCATGAGGACGACATCGCCAGGTTCCACCCCGCGCTGCTCCCTCGTCCAGCGCCGGCGTTCTTGTAGCGTCGGCAGTACCTCTGCCATCCATCTGCTCCAGAAGAGGTTAGTCAAATACTGAACCCTGCGCCATCGCTGGCGGCAGTACACATCTACAGGTAAGAATCTACCGGGGGGCGGGAGTACCCTTTTCGTCTTTTGTGTTAGTATCTGGTTTGGGGTCAGAGGTTCTACTACATCTACTTGGGTCATCTCTGGGAAAGGAATAGGACGGCTGTTGATTACCGCCTCCACTTCCACCATCACTGTCCGCAGCACTTCGTCGTCCATCTGCTCGGCGTGGGTTTTCAACACAGCGTCCAACGCTGCTCGAGCGGAGCGGATCATACGTTCCCAGATGCCGCCCATGTGGCTAGCACAGGGAGCATTCATCTGGAAGTCGACCCAGTCACAGTTGTTCTTCAGCAGTTCTCGCTGAATCTCTCCCGCGTCCATTTCGTCCAAAGCGGCTTCCATAGCTGCTTTCCCTCCGACAAAGTTCGTTCCTCTGTCACAGCGTAGAGTCCTTACAGGGCCTCGTCGTCCAACAAACCTTCTGAAAGCGTTCAGAAACGAATCTGTGGAGAGAGAGTTCACCGTCTCGATGTGTACCGCTCTTGAAGCGAGGCAGGTGAACATGACTCCCCACCTCTTCAGTTCACTGCGCCGTTCCTTCACATAGAACGGACCGAAGAGGTCCACGCCGCTGTAAGTGAATGGCTCAGACGGCACTAGACGCTCCTCAGGCAGGTCGGACATCTTCTGTCCCTGAAAGGTGCCGCGGATTCTCTTACACATCACACAGTGCAGAATGTGACGGGACACGGCGCCTCTGACGCCAACGATCCAGAATCCTGCTGAGCGGATTTCGGCGATCGTCATTCCTCGTCCGGGGTGATGAGCTCTCTTGTGGCAGTGGTCAATGACGAGGCGGGTAACGTGACCTGCTCGTGGGAGTACCATCGGGTGTAGCTGACTCGCCGGCAGGTCCGCTCTCCTGATTCTGCCGCCGACGTAGATCACTCCATTTTCATTGACGTAGGGGTCCAATCTGTGCAGTTTGCTTGTTTTCTTGATGGCCTTTGTAGCTGTTTCACCCTGCTCTGACGCCGTCATCTTCGAACTCAGCGTCCTCAGCTCCTCTGTAAACGTTTCTTCCTGCACAGCTCGTACTATCACAGTTTCGGCTTCTTCGAGTTCTGTCACAGTCAACGGGCGGTCAGGTGACGAACGCCGCCCCAGGAGTGCGTCCTTGTATCTGAGGCAGAGTGCGACTGCTCTCTTGGCTCGGTGCCAGTCTGAAAAGCGTTCAAGCCTTTCCGTCAAACTTGCAAAGCGAACCGTCTCTGACGTGGTCGTCTGAAGTGTCACGGCAGTCTGAGCCGCGCGTCTCACCTCAGGATCTTTCTGGTCCAGAGTCGTGTCAAGATCTCGTCCCGGCAGCGGGTCGGTGCTTCTGAGAAACGGAGGTCCATTCCACCACAGATCACTGCTCTCCAACTCTGCAGCACTCGCGCCCCTGGAGGCCAGATCAGCTGGGTTCAACTTTGTCTCCACGTGCAGCCACTGGTCCTTTTCGGTGTGATCCCTGATCTGCTGCACTCGGTTCCCTACAAAGACATGGAACCTTCTGGCGTCGTTCGAGATGTAGCCGAGGACCACTCGGCTGTCTGTCCAGAAGTACTCTGCCAGGTCCTCGATGTCCAGCTCTTCTCGGAGAAAGCAGCTCACCTGGACCGAGGTCAGGGCAGCAGTGAGCTCGAGTCTGGGCACCGTCACGGGTTTCGAGGGAGTGACTCGGGCCTTGCTCATCACGAGCCTGCAGCAGACCCGATCCTGCTCATCAATGAGACGCAGGTAGCTGCACTGCCCATAGCCGTGCGTACAGGCGTCTGAGAAGTGATGTAACTCTGTCCGCTTCACGAGGCCGAAGTCGCTCGTCCTGTAGCACCTTGGGATGCGCAGTGACGACAGTGCCTCGAGCTGAGAAGTCCAGTCGCCCCAGCGCGTCAGGATATCATCTGGAACGGGATCGTCCCAACCGAAACCGTCGCGGCAGAGCTCCTTCACGATCTGCTTACCCCTGAGGATGAAAGGCGAGACAAAGCCTAGGGGATCGAACACTGAGCTTACTGTGGACAAGATCCCCCTTCTCGTCGATGGCTTCTTGCAGGGTTGTACACTGAACTGCAGAACATCTGTCTCGGTGTCCCACTCGACACCCAGAGCTCGCTGGACTGGCAGACACACCGTGCCAACATCGAGACTCTGCAGCTCTGAGCAGCGGCTCTCGGGTGACACCGACTCCAGCACCTTCACGCTGTTGGAGAGCAGCTTGTGGAGGGTGAACCCGCCACGGGTACACATTTTCCGAGTTGAGTCGATCAGGTCGATGGCTTCATCTTCACTGTCAACAGAGGTCAGACCATCATCAATTTAAAAATTCTTTCTCACAAACTCGGCTGCTTCTTTTCCTTCTGCGTCTTCGTACATGTCAGCAGTCTTCCTGAGCGCGAACATGACGCACGCGGGTGATGACCTTGCTCCAAACAGGTGGGTAGTCATTCGGTACTCCTGTGGTGCCTGTTTCAGATCTCCGTTCTCCCACCACATGAACCTCAGAAAGTCCCGATCTCTTGTGTCTACTCCCACCTGGTTGAACATACCTTGTATGTCGCATGTCACGGCTACCTGGTTCTTTCGAAACCGACAGAGTATGCCGGTTAGACTGTTAGTCATGTCTGGTCCCTGGAGAAGATGGTTGTTCAGGACCTGCCCACCGAATTCCGCGCTGCAGTCAAATACGACGCGAATTTTACCGGGTTTCTTGGGGTGGTACACCCCGTGGTGCGGCAGGTACCAGACCCTTCCATTGTCCAGCCGCAGCTGACCTTCTGGGACCTTCTCTGCATGTCCGTTGGCCACGGTAGCCTCCATGAAGGTCGTGTAGTCACGTCTGAAGGCTTCGTTCCGGACCAACTTCGATTTGAGTCCTTTCAGGCGCTGCATGGCAACGGCCTTGTTGTTGGGCAGTCTCACATCTTCTTTCAGGGGGAGAGGCATCTCGAAATGCCCATCTTCCCTCTGACGAGTTCCTTCCGTCATCTTCTTGAGAAACAATCTGTCCTCCACAGACTGCGGTTTGTCCATCTTGGTATCTTTGAAGTCTTGCTCGAACAGCTGAGCCACTTGCATAGGCGTCATCTCTCGGGCAGCAGTTCTGAAAGCGAAGTGACACAGCCTTCGCTCGCCACTACCAGCGTCCACGTACTGGCAGGCAGTCATGCTTGTCCTGGAGTCAGACACCGGGCCGACAATGCCCCATCCCAGAGCACTTCTCACAGCCCAGGGGTCATCATCTTCTCCAGTGACAACATCTCTTGGCTTCACTGCCTTGGGGCAGTTTGCCCCGATGAGCAGTCCGATCTCTGCAGTTGGGTAGTGGAGAGGCAACTCGTCAGCAATGGACTGAAGATGTGGCCACATCCTAGCTGTCTTCCGTCTCGGGATGCAGGACCTGTCTGCCGGTATCGCCTCTCTTGAGAAGCACTGTGGGAGTTCGACAGTGCAGTCACCTTGTGTCGACTCCATCACCAGATCCTGGACAGCTGAGCTTGACACCACAGATGGTCCACTCACAGTCTTCAGCTCCAACGAAACTTGCTGACCTTTGGCACCCAGTGCTGCGCAGGTTGAGTCTGATACAAAACATGCATCGGACTGGGGGTCCAGGACTGCATAGACCAGGACCTTCATGTCAGGATTAGACTTGTGGTGGACATACACAGGAATGATCATGGAATGGATGCAGCCTGGACGCCCGTCTCCAGCCTCAGACGCCACGCGAAGAGATGTGGCTTCCACTCTGGGCTGACCTGCTTCGCATCCAGCTTGTCTCCTTGTTCCTTGCTGCTTGTCCTGTCCGACTGAGGTTGGAGCGGTGAAGGTCTCATCATGTAGAGCGGTTGGGTGCCTTCTTCCGCAGGTCTCACAGTTCTGCTTCTTCTGACAGGATCGCCAGATGTGACCCCGCTTCAGGCATCCTCGGCACAGACCATGCCTCATGACAGCTGCTTGTCGCTCCTTCAGCTTCATCCTGAGGAACACCTTGCACTTGTCAACTGGATGAGGGACAGGTACGGTTTCAGCAGAAGCATCCTCAGCACACACAACACAGCCATGAGTAGCAGAGCGAGGGGCGCCATCTCTTGAAGCTGCAGTCGCACCGGTTTGGAGAGCTCTGACCACCCTCCTGTCTCCACGTCCACCCTCCTTCTCATCTCGTGTGACAGGATCTTGGATAGGTCCACAGGCAACTCTGGCTTCCTTGGACAGGAATCTCACAAACTCCCAGAACCGAGGAAACCCTGCCGTCTCACCTCCAGCTGGCTCGTAGAGCCTCTGGTCTACATACCTTCTCCAGCGGTCAACAAGAGGCTTTGGTAGCTTCTTCAGCATGATGCTGTTCTCGTGCTGGTCATCCAGCACTCGCAGGTGGCCAGCTGCACTTGACGCAGCTTGGCACTGCTCCAGGAAGTCAGCAAACTCCCTTAGCCCCTTTCCATCTCCGCTTCTTATGGCAGGCCAGCTACGGATTCTGTTCTTGAGTGTTGATGCCTTCACAAACTCATTTCCATACCTGTCCATGAGCTTGGTCTTCGCCTGCTGGTAGGCATTTTCACTGCGAAGTTGAAGATATCCCATGATTGCATGCTTGGCTTCTCCTGCGGTATAGTTGCCAAGGTAGTGAAGGCGTTCAATCGGTGAGCTGGTTCTGTGCTCGATGTAAGTCTCAAAGCCCTTGAGCCAGAGGTCAAACTTGCCAATGTCACCATGGAAAACATCTGGCTCCAGTGAAGGAAGATGATTCTGCCTCACTTCCTCCCTCAGGAGGTTCACGAGATCTTCAACCACACCTGTGTTCTGGTTTGAAGCCACTCGGGATTGCTCAGTTTCTTGACTGGGTCGTACCACAGTCGCTTGTAGTTGTTGACCTTCCGCTTGCTCTGCTTCTTGGCCTCTTCTTACACCATCATTCAGTTCCATTTGGTGCATCACTTGTAGCCTTTCTGCAGCTGCATCCGGTTCAGGTCGACATCCTTCAGCACTGTTGGTGAGCTCTCTTTCAAACTTGTCAATCGCTCTTGTTCTTGCCTCACTCACAGCGAGTTCGGTCATCAGTTTGTCCTCTTCTTCTTCATACTGCATTTCAAGTTTTCTCTTGTTCAGTTCAAGTTTCTTCTTCATTAGGGCAGCTCTTGTTGCTAACTCGGCTTGTCTTGTCATTTCTTTCAGCCTTGCAGAGCTTGTAGTCGAGTCACCTGACTGATGACTTACCCTGGTCGACAGAGCTGTTCTGGTGGTCGCAAACAGGTTGGACGCACTGTCTTGTGGTTCCACATCATCAGCTGCCTCTACTTGCTGAACAGTACTCAGGAACTTGATCACTTTTGCTGAGACTGCATCATTTTCTTCAAGTTGCCTGGAGTGTCTGTCCGCATGGTAGACAGCATCTTCTGGAGGTAGTAGCAGCCGCAACCCTTCATCAGCCGCAACCAGATCTTGGCAGAGCCCTTTCCATTTGTCGTACTCACTTCTGACTTGCTCGTGACTTTCATTCTGTGATACTGCTGTGCACAACCTCTGACCTGATGCACGGACGGAACTCAGTGCACGCTTGTACAGCTTCTGCTTCACGCTGAGCTGGTACTGTGCACCCTTCTCTGTGGTCCTCCGAGCCCTGGCTCCGTCAGACGACTCGTCTTGACTGTTCTGACCATCCATCATCAGGTAGGTAGGTAGGTATCACAGCCAAGACAAAGGATTGAAGACCATGTGCTAACTACAGGCAAGTATGGAATGGGTCAACAACAGGAATCAGCTGGTCAATCATTGGTCAGCACTCGAGTTAGTCAAGGGCAGCACCATCAGTGGGCAAATACGAGTCAGTGGGTAAGTACATGGTTAATCGACTTTGCCAAACACTACTCATGGCAACAAAATCAATACAATTCATTTACTCTACATCCCACTAGGGATACGTCAAAACTGAACCGGCCTTCATACGCCAGTGGTGAAAAACAAAGGATAAAATAAACTACATGTATATAAAAGATAACAAATTGGCAAACAGAACAAATAACACTAAATCAACGATGAGCATCAGCCATAGCTGTCCGTAGTGGCTCTGGTTCTTTGGCACTTTGGCACGTACTTAGGTACTGGTACGTTTTGACCTGTGGGGCAAAATGTGGCCGCTGTCACACAAACTGGCGCACTCTCCCGACCCACAGCCAATCGATTTCTAGTCATATAACACATTTGCCCTATTTAAATTGCGGAACCAACGAGCTCACAGGGTACACGCATCAATAATATATGGCAAAAACATGAAACACATTGGAAAAAATAAATAACATACGTTTCTCCCTCGTGGGCTGATCAGTTCAACGGAAATAAGGAAAACGCGAGGGAACGTAAACAATTGTGAAACGGAAGTGAGAGTGAGCGAAAATGACGTCACAAGATCGGCTCGACGCAACCAAATTAAAAACACGCCGTACCGGCGGCCACAGTTATGTTCTTTATGATACCTTTGTTTTACAATTTATAAGCGAATGTTTTATGAGGCTCATAAGAAAGACATTTTTAGAGAAAACTTGTGAAATGATATCGATACTTCGCTCGGCTGCGAGTTTGTCTGAATGAAGACTCAAATTGCCCGTTAAATGTTGCGTCAAACACTTATTTTGTGGAAATAGGGTGCGCTAAATTGTAGTGAAAAATGATCGGCGCGGACGTAGGTTTAAAATGCAGTTAGGTAGCGTTGGTTACTGAAGGGTGTACCGTACCGTGATCGCAGTGTCCAAGAACGCTAGCGCATCTGCCAATCCAGTGTGTGGTTCATAGCGAGACAATTAGCGGGAGATCTTCATGAGGTTGAAAAAATGTTTGTGATGGTCAATGCCATATGCCCAGACTCCTAATATGTCACGATCAAGAACCAGTCGCGACCACAGTAATCACAAAGCCATCAAGACTGCGTATTATCACCAACAGGAGGACTGACGTATTATCACCAACAGACCAGTACGCTGTCACTGTTGCAGTACGAGTAATCACGATGCCACCAGGAATGGCGTATTATCAGCAACTGATAATGCGCCGTTCCTGGCGGAGGGTTGTGATTACTGCGACGGCGACTGCCTTCTTGTCTGCGTAAGGTAATAACAAATGTCTTATCTGATGTCTCTTTATCATCAGTGCACACTGGACATTATGCCTAAAACAAAGAACAGAAGCACCGTCGAATAAAGTTCGTTGCTGTGAATAAAAATGTCGAGGCAAAGCGCCCCCCCCCCCCTCCGAATGAAGAGGTGAAAATCTTAGGAGTCCGTCAAAACTATGATTCCGACGATTCTGTAAAGAAAAAGCTCAATCCAAGATAAGGCCAATTTTCAAATTAAATACTGACTGACATTTCTGCAGATTATTGATCATTTCATTATATATTTATCAATAGCACTGCAAAAACAACCATCCAACACATATTGAAAATGTGATTACTGTTCTGTAAAAACTGTGCGAGGACAAACTACAGGTCTGAAAAAAAATGTTCTAAGGCGCTACCTCCACTGAGAGAGAAACTACGCAAAGTCTGGAACATCGGTATTTCCATCGAACACGTAAGCAAAGATCGCTAAAAGATAAACAGCCCGGCTTGAGCTCAAACAAGCGGCGTCCAATATCCCGCGACTCTGCAAATCTACCGATAAATTCGGCTCTCGCAACCTTCCAAGGACAGGTCAAGGTCGGCACCGGCGTCTCGACACGCTCATTCGAGTGAGGATCACAAGACGGCTGCACTCACAAAGGTCATTGGAACGAAGCTAGAAGGTCGTTCTGTCGGCGTCCAGCCGCTCCTCGAGCCCATTCGGCTCATTCAGCTTGTTTAGGTCAGCAACAGCCCATTCATCGCATCATCCTATCCGACGGAATAGCATGCAGACAGAAGGGGCGGCCAAGTATTCTGTCTGACCAGGAAACGTCTGTCTGGGCTGCCCGTAACTGCGCTCTTTGCGGCGGTCCGAATAGTTCTCCTCAGATAGTACCTCGGGCGAGCATTAGCATACATGTTTCAGTGCATTACTGGTGCAGGGGAGCCATCGGGAGTGCGGGCCGAACCACGGTCGGAAATAATAAAAGCCAATGCTAGGGTTATAACTCATGCGTTGTAGGCAAATGATGAATATCGATAAAAATATTGCAAAGAACGCGGTTCCATACGGAAAAATAGTCACCTTACGCATTACCAGGACTTTTTCCTTGGACGCAAAGGGGCAAGAGCTGACATTTTGTCATGTTATCATAACTTTATTTAATACCTATAGCGCCCGAAAAGTTCCCTTGTTCAAAGTCACATATCGTATATCAAATGCACCATAAAGTGATTACGTCTTAATCCAATTTCTGCAGGACATTCATATACATGTGTACATACACATGGCATATAACGCATTGCTCACATGGGAATGACTCACTCAGGCTGATCACAAATACTTAACTACTTCTTAAGCACTGAAATGGATATAAGGGTTTTAAGGTTAAATGAAGACCATCGCATGCATAATATGTATTCGATGGTCTTAATTAAGCCTTTAGAACGCCATAACTTATGCCGATATGATATCCATGCATTTCAACCCGCGCCGGGCCGGTGCTCTGAGATTCCGCGCCGGGCCGGGGGGTGTCTGAACACCCCCTTCTAATTCGGCTCCTGGGCCACATAGCGACACGCGGTAAGCGGCAATCAATCGAAAGAACGTCCAAAATAAAGACGAAAACACTTCAGTCATTTTTGGGCCAGGTCAAAGGTCAGGTCAGCAGAGGTCACCAAAGGTAAAATGTTGACTATTTCAACATTTTGGAAACTGCCGACGGCTATCTCTGGAGCCGATAGAGCTACAGCGCCGCGGAAAAGCGCATTCAATAGCCCTTTTACAGACCTTTCTGAATAGTGCTCTCAGATTTGACCTCAGGTCAACGGTTTAGCCTCCAGAGGGCAAAAACTGCCAAAATAAGCGTTTTTACGAAAACCGTTTTTTCGGCAATAGCTTTTGACTCAAAAGAGCCATGACATTGCTTTTGCCAGCATCGTGTTCCTCTCGTCGAGACGCGTCGGATGAAATATAATTTGACCTTGAAAGGTCAACTTGAAAATTTGACCTCAGGTCAAGGTCATGACCTGACCGGAAAAGGTCATGTTGCATATCAGTCGATCGGCTACGTCGAGCCGAACACATCTAAGGCGTTTTCAGCGCTCTAGCACGCCTCTATCATGTTAGATTCTGTTCGTGACCTGAGATGACCTCGGGGGGACATAACGAGGGGTCACAGTTGCCATTTTCCGGTTCAGTGTGTCAATCTTACCTACATCTCGATGTTTGGGAGTGTCTAGAATAGCGTTCGTGCAAAACAGACGCTTTTCAATTTTCTCCCATTGACTTAAAATGGAGAGGCCGCAAAATTGACCTGACCTTAGGTCACCAATATCAAAATTCCGAGACAAACATTTTGTAGATAATGTTGCTCTAATCAATCGCTGAAAGTTTCAAGGCAATCGATCAATCGGTGTAGCTATGACGAGCGTTCTTATTTTTCTGAGGTGAGGTCACTTGGCGTGACCTGGTGACCTGACCTAAGGCGACCTGGGTCTGAATTTTTCACAACATGTGCGGAAAAGATGCACTAACAAGTGTGCAAAAACGGCGGCGCTCCGCGCCGCCGTTTTTGAGATATCTGCGAAAAACCGCAGGGGGGTGTTCAAACACCCCCGGCACGGCTCGGGTTAACATGACGTATGGCAGGACGACCATTCTTTATTTGCACCATTGCCTAAAACTTCGCCTGTTCGTCAACTGCATCAAACACGTAACAAATGAAAAACTAGCATAAAGGACAATAGAGCCTTACAATCTGTATTGCAATTCGCACGTTCCAATGTAGGAAGTGAACAGGCGGTATAAAACTTGGAGACGGCCTCGGTCGAGATTCACGCATCGCCGTTCAGCCACCGACGACCTTACCTGGCCCAAGTGATCCGCTCCACAGCTCCTCAGTAATCTAGCGACCGTGCTCCGTTCAACTCTGATCACTGCACAGCAACGGGGACGACTCGGCGCGACCGTCTCCACCGCGCACCCACAGCACGGCTCGTCCCTCGCCCACTGGACGTGCGGCCGAACGGACGGCCGGCCACGCGACTGCAGCGCCGCCACCGGCCCAGGGAGGAACTAGGCCGTCGCTGCGGCTCGCGGTTATTGTGAAAGCCGAAGGACGACTCGCCAATCATCCGTAAACAAAAACACAGTGTTGCATCTGTGTATGATCGCACTCGTGCGACCTACGTAGAAAGTAATAACTAGTGTCATCCCAGTCATAACAAGGTGTAACTACGGAGCAGGTAACGTTTTAGTAAGTATTCACAAAAGATTGCGTAAGGTACGAATTATTTCATTTTAGAGTTAAGAATGTACAGTAAAATACAGTCAACTCCGAGAGAATCAACATAAGAACGTCCTTGCTATCCCCAGCACCAGGTTGTTATCCTCAGCCAAGCTAACTCATTGACCGACCATATTTCTCAATTGCGGACTGACGCCTGACGACCGCTGATCCGGCAGCCATTGACGGCAATTCCCAAAAGCAGCAGCCCCTGCAAGGTTCCGAGTGCCCGTTGGAACAGCTGGGTGACTCGCACCTCTGGGGCACTCAAACCGTCTCCGTCCCAGGGATAGACTCAGCTGCTGTGACGCACGCCAGACTCAGCTCAAAGTCCCAATACTCACATCTCGCGACCCAAAAATGGTATCAATGGACAGGAAGGGCTTCAACCCAACAAAATGAAACAAGCGCCCACTCCACCCAATGTCACTGAGTCCCGCCTCTAATTATCTGTTCAAGGTAATCAATGTTTTGCTCTCAAACTAGAGATATGGCTGAGTATCTATAACAGCTTCTCTCGTCCGAAGTCGTCTGCACATAATACGGTGCCTGAATGGCCGGCTCAGACTCAACTCAGTTCAGTGGACCACGGCATAGTTTCCAGAACTGTGATTTATTTTCAGAGTTTGCACTCCCGCGGGCGGCGGCCATAGACCTAATTTCTGAGGTCCGTTTTACGTACTGAGCTCAGAAAAGCACAGTTGTAAGCTTGCAGTTAGAAACGCTATTACAGGATGACTGAGGAGACGGACAGACAGACAGCCACAGCGGAGTGCGTGAGACTTAAACGCACCGGCACGGAAAGGTAATTACTGGCGGTTAAAAGCGGCCATGTCGGAGCTTATTGAGCATAAATGTCACTAATCTTTCGAAATGTCGTCACGTCAGACTCAAATCTCCCACTAATGCTGCTAAAATGGCTCACTCATCTTGCAGGGGCCCTTCAACACCCTTACATGCGAACGGTTTTCGGTCGTGGCCGCGGCCTTCAATAACTCCAGTCGACGTGGCGTATACGCCTGACGTTCCGTTCTCGGGCGCACCGTAAGGAGCACACCAGGGTCCTCTGGAGAGCAGTCAGACACATTGGTCCGTCTGCGGCGGGGCACATGTTCCGGACGATGCCGCCCGCGAGACTCGACTGATCGTTGCAGAAACTGGGTACGTTTGCACCCATCGCGCCTCATCAGCCCTCATCAAGGAAGGGACAGGGTGCAATGTCTGTCTATATCGGAATGGCGGTGATACTAAAAGCGTTGGTATGAGATGTCTGCTAAGGTGCGTATCGTGATAGTGCCGGTAAACTGGCCAAATACCTATATAAATACGCAGTTTGCCTGGTTATAGACGTTTTATCTTATTGTCTAGCCCGGTTGTCAATTGATTGTCCCCTTACGAATGTCCCACACAGGCACGTGTAGCTAAGTTATGCGTGATATACCTGATACGGTCCGTAAAAGAGGGAGATCCAAAGCGCGATTCTAAGCAATGTCTCGGGATCGGTGGAAAAACCAATACGAATAGTTTCCCAGAAGGCGCCATATTTACAGTCTGTCGGCAGAAGCGGCAGCCGGCAGCAAAACTTTCACCGTCTCTAGAACTTGGCTCAGATGGCACAAAAGAGCAGCATCCTCTCAGGGACGTAAATGTATGAAGGAATCAGGTTTGTTTATTTTTCGTTCGAGGGCAAGACGAAAACGGGAAGAGATTGCTGGCTACAGTCCGTGTAGTAGCATCACACATACCTACCAAACTCAACGATTATAGCATAGTCAAGCCAAAGCGTCAGAGATGACCTAAGTGAAATATCAGAACAAGACTTCCTGACTTCCACTTCCTGACTGCGCAGCTCCTCTCGAGCGGGCCATTTTTCCGTGCTGAGTTCTAATGCCGTGTTAAGTGGCGCGTGGCCGTGTTTGTCGGCACTGCCGGCCGCCGGGCGGGCCGAGGGGCCGGTCCGCCGAAGCCGGCAGTGCGTCAGACACCGGAACCCACACGTCCTCACCAGTCACAGCTGCCAGCTCATTTACATAATCGAATTGGTCGCCGGCCGGAGGCGGCTGCCACCGGGCCGCGGCCGCTGCCGCCTGTTCCTCCCCGCGGACTGAACGCGCGGCACTACGAGTCGGACACGCAGCGGTCAGTGGCACCGCCCGAGTTTGACACTCAGCCTACAGCCAGCTATATACAGACAGGCCTCACGCCCACTGCAGACAGTCTCAGAGACAGAGACAGACTGAGTTTCAACTCAGCGGCCAGACCTCCAGGCTGAGTTTCAGACGCCAAGTCGACAGGCCGGAGCAGAAGAGCTTCGACTCGGATGAGTTGCAAAACAAAGTGCATCCCTGCACTTCCCCATGCGCCATCCGGAAGCGTAGGCACGGTAACAGAAGCCACATTCTAAGACCATGAATACTTTTTAAAATAATAGTCCATAATAGTTTGAAGCAGGAAGGCAACATTCCGAATTATAAAACATAAAAACAATGAAAAGAAATGATCATAAAACGACAATAAAACGACCAAGGAAATGCCCGCCAACGACCGGGATAAGTTATCCGTTTCCAATGGATTCTTATAGCTGTAAGAACAGATACCATCAAATTTTGCCTTCCATAAGGAAGGTGGGGATGGAAAACAGACTAAAATAGTAAGTATAGGGCCAGAATGAAAGAAAAGCTTGAAAATGTTTGAAAACGAATAACGGGACTTAATTCAAACATCTTTTTCATAATTAAGAACCCGTATTATTTTAAAATATCAGGCCATTGCGTTAGTCGTAGCAGTCCAATATGACTCGTCAACAGTGAAATTACGTGATCCATCAGTGATCTTTTATCGGCTGAGCCGCTCGTCCCCGATGATCCCCGGTCAAACGAATGCCCAGCCGTCTATAGCAGCTGCCCAGGAGCGAAGGCTGCAGCGGTGGCGCGTTCGGCGGCGTCTCTCGGTCCACCATCAAATCAGGGCCGACCAGCCAGGCGGCAGATGCGCCCTGAAGTCTACAAATTGGATGGCGGCCGCGGGGGCCGGGCCCGACCCACCGGCCCACTCGGAGGAACTGCGAGCGCGTTCAGCGATCCAGCTCAGGAGCTGAACTATGACGTCATCTAATGAACGCACCCAGATCTGCCGACCGCGGCGCATCAATCAATCAGAGACGTAAAACTTTACCGTATTGGAGCCGGTGCCGGCCCCAAAAGTTGCGGTATGACGACTCTCCGAGTCTCACTCGTATTTTTCGATCGTAAAATTCGAAATCATTAAATAATCATGACGACAGGCGAGTTCCAGATCAAGTTCCTCCGATGTCAAGTTCATCAGAGCAGAGGTCGAAGAATAAATCGACCAACATCATCCCGCCACATCTGGCCACCTCTGCCACTGATCGCATATGTTATCAGTCCGCAGCTAGCGGCAAAGAACTTCTGCACGAAGCGACTTGAACCGGATTCCGGATGGTTCTGCAGGTCTGAGGCTCTGTGGGGCGCGCTTCCCCTCACTGCCCTGGTGCGGTGGAACATTTAGCAGTGGCACTGAATTAATGACTGAGAAGAAAAGCAATGGTACGCTCAGCGCCAAGCTTTACAAAAATGATCAGAAATGGGGGGTGGTATGACTAAAGAGAATGTATTTCAAAATCGCTGGGTTTTACTGTTCCTTATCGATTCCTCAGCCTTGAATATTGTTTTTTTTTTCGAAATAAACATCGCAGGTTTCATCCGCCGCACGGATGAATCCAAGACTGTCTGACATACAATGGCTGGCATCAATACTCTTCGCATCTGGATGCAGCAAATGGAGGAAGTCGAGTCATCATATTCACCACGCGCCGCTACCTCCAACTCAGCAAAAATGCGCGTTCAATCAGAGACGCGTCGATTCTGGGAACTCCTCTCTACCTCTGAACCCCCCCCCCCATCGACCTCTCCAGACACTCTGTCTCGTGCAGAAAGAAAGGCATGATGCAAGGCCGATAGGAGCACTGCTCACATAGGCTTTGCTAAGAGAGGGCGGTTACCAGGCTGTGTGAATGAACAGAGTACCGGTAATATCCGATCTACGCTGGCATTGAGAAGAGTTGAATCTTAACGACCAGTAAAACGCCTTTTGGGCGAAGAGCGAGCGAGCGAGATAGTGAGCCCTGCACGTGCAGAAGGGCGAGAGGGTACTTCCAACGGGCTTGTGCAACGCACCCTTCTAACCGGTCGCTAGCGGTGTACCAAATTTGAACGCAATCGGCCCAGCCGTTCCTGAGATCTGGAAGCGGCATTATGCACGTGCGCACGTGCAAACGGGGTCCAAAATGACCTTTGCACGGCACCCTACTAACCGGTCCCCAACCGTATACCAAATTTGAACGCAATCGGCCCAGCCGTTCTCGAGATCTGGAAACGCCCCCTACACGTGCGCACGTGCAGTAGCACCCTAACCGCAACACATGGGAATGCATTGCCTGGTGGGTGCCTACCTGTATGCCAAGTTTCAGCGAAATCGCCCCAGTAATTACCGAGTTACTGAAATGGGAACAAATTTGGCACCTCTTATTGTTGTATTTTGCACGTGCAGTGGGGGTCACTCACATAGATGAAGAGTATCCGACCTTTGGTAGAAGGGATGCAGCTACCCTATAAAAATGACCGCAAGACAATCGCTCAAGCTGCTGCTGAGATATGGGCCTCTCAAAATCATTACTTTTGCAAAACTGCTTGAACACCCTTGACTTTTC